TGTCCCTTCTCCCTTGCCTGCCAACTAAACTCCTCTTTCTTCTTACTGGTTCAGAAAGCTAGAGTCAAGTAGACTTCCTCTATTCAACCTTCCCTCTCCTAAAGTAGCAGGCTGTCATCATTATTCCATCTGCTCCCACTGAATCCAGAAGATAATAACATCAACAATAATGATAAAATTCAGTGTAGATAAGAATTTAAAAAATTAATATTTGTTGAGTACTTCTATAACCCAGTGTCAGTGCTTGGAGCTTTATAGGCATTAACTCATTTTGATGACTCTGTAAGGGAGGCATTTTTATTACCTCTTTTTATTATAATACATACTTATCTTATTGTCTTGAAATGGCTTAGTTATTATAAATGTCCCCAATATATAATTGTTTTTGTTCATCTTTATATCCCTAGCAACTAATAGAAGTTCTGTATACGTGGTTTTTGGAACGTGAAGAAGCCAACATTCATGCATTCAACCTGCCTGTTGAGAAACCTGTATGCAGGTCGGGAAGCAATAGTTAGAACTGGACATGGAACAACAGACTGGTTCCAAATAGGAAAAGGAGTACGTCAAGGCTGTACATTGTCACCCTGCTTATTTAGCTTATATGCAGAGTACATCATGAGAAACGCTGGGCTGGAGGAAACACAAGCTGGAATCAAGATTGACAGGAGAAATATCACTAACCTCAGATATGCAGATGACAGCACCCTTATGGCAGAAAGTGAAGAAGAACTAAAGAGCCTCTTGATGAAATTGAAAGAGGAGAGTGAAAAAGTTGGCTTAAAGCTCAATATTCAGAAAACTAAGATCATGGTATCCAGTCCCATTACTTCATGGCAAATGGATGGGGAAAGAGGGGAAACAGTGGCTGACTTTTTTTGGGGGGCTCAAAAATCACTGCAGATGGTGATTGCAGCCATGAAATTAAAAATGCTTACTCCTTGGAAGGAAAGTTATGACCAACCTAGATAGCATATTAAAAAGCAGAGACATTACTTTGTCAACACAGGTCCGTCTAGTCAAGGCTATGGTTTTTCCAGTGGTCATGTATGCATGTGAGAGTTGGACTATGAAGAAAACTGAGTGCCGAAGAATTGATGTTTTTGAACTTTGGTGTTGGAGAAGACTCTTGAGAGTCCCTTGGACTGCAAGGAGATCCAACCAGTCCATCCTAAAGGAGATCAATCCTGGGTGTTCATTGGAAGGACTGATGCTGAAGCTGAAACTCCAATACTTTGGCCACCTGATGCAAAGAGTTGACTCATTTGAAAAGACCCTGATGCTGGGAAAGATTGAGGACAGGAGAAGGGTACGACAGAGGATGAGATGGTTGGATGGCATCACTGACTCAAAGGACATGGGTTTGGGCGGACTCCAGGAGTTGGTGATGGACAGGGAGGCTTGGCGTGCTGCGGTTCATGGGGTTGCAAAGAGTCAGACACGACTGAGAGACTGAACGGAACTGAACTGACCCCAAGGAGTGAGTGATACGAGATTTTCAGGCCAGTGGTATGAAAGTTTGGGCAGAGGCTTTCAGGGGCCCTCTAGTCATATTGGGCTTCCTTGGTGGCTCAGATGTTAAAGAGTGCAATGAGGAAGACCTGGGTTTGATCCCTGGTCTGGGAGGATCCCCTGGAGAAGGCAACGCTAGCTACCCACTCCAGTATTCTGGCCTGGAGAACTCCTTGGATGGAAGAGCCTGGAGGGCTGCAGTCCATGGGGTCACAAAGAATCAGACAGGACTGAGTGACTTTCACTTCACTTCACTTCACTTCAGTCATATTAAATGACCTTCCCCCTTGTATTAAACAGCATCATCCCTCTTGCTTAAGAAAACCACCTGGGAGTTACCTTGTTTACTACTTTTCTTCACACCTGCACTTCAGGAAAATAACTTGAGATCCTTTAATTTCTATTTCTATAGCAACCAACCCAATCCAATCCAGGTCACCATCCTATATTCCATGGACTTGTCCAATAGCTCCCTATCATTCTCTGATTTTCCCTGTTCCATTTCTACCCTCTGCTTGTCATTCTCTCCAAAAGATGTTGACTTAAAAAATAAGACAAGCATTTCCCTGGTGGTCCACTGGTTAAGAATTCACCTGCCGATGTATGGGACACAGGTTCGATTCCTGGTTGGGGAAGATCCCACGTGCTGTGGGGCAACTAAGCCCACTTGGCACAACTACTGAAGCCCATGCTCTAGTGCCTATGCTCTGCAACAAGAGAAGCCATCTTGGGACTTTCCTGGTAGTCCAGTGGCTAAAGACTCCATGCTCCCAACACAGGGGGCCTGGGTTCAATCCCTGGTCAGGGAACTAGATCCCACATGCCGCAACTAAGAGTTCGTATGTCAAAACTAAGACCCAGGGCAGCCAAATAAATAAATACTCTTTTTTTTGTTTTTGCTTTTAAAGAGAACCCATCGCAATGAGAAGCCTGGACATCGCAACTAGAGAGTAAGTCCCTGCTCACCACAACTAGAGAAAGTCTGAAGCATTGAAGACCCAGCACAGCCAAAAATAAAATAAGTAAATAAATAAAATTATTAAAAACAAAGCAAAACAAAACCAAGACATAACTAAACGCCCCAAAATACAAACAACATGATTAGGCTTCTGCTTCACTTGACAACCTCAGTCTCACACCCTCCACAGAAGTGTTTCAAGCCTCCTGGTCTTTGGTTCCTCAAATAAGCCAAAGTTGCTCAGCATCTGCATTCCACACCATGTCCTCTGTCTAGAATGGTCTTCTTCCCCGTACTTGGCATAGCTGGCTCCTTCTAAGTCTCAGTTCATATCATCTCCTCAAAAAGTCCTTTAGTGACTCTTCTGTTTTGTTTTTCTTTTTTTGGCCACACTGCTCAGATTGTGGGGTTTTAGTTCTCTGACTAGGGATTGAACCCACATCCCCAGCAGTGAGAGCTTGCAGTTCTAACCACTGGACCACAGAGGAACTCCCTGTTTTATTTTCTTCTTAACACTTATCTTTGCCTGCAGTTATCCTATTTACTTTTATAAAAAAATTTATATTTTCCACTAGATACATAAGTGCTGGGTTTCTGTTATAGTCACTACTGTATCCCTAGTGCTGACAAAAAAATGCAATTTTTTTTAATGACTAAATGAAACAGAGGAAATAAATGAGTCAAACAAGTGTGTATATAGTGGCGAGCTGAGTCTCAAAGAAAGGAGTTGCTGCGTTCCTACTGCTCTTAAACTGATAGGAGGGGAGAGGTGAAGGACAGACGCTATTGGGATTTATCAGATCCTGTTGACACAATTAGCAACTGTGCAACTGTAGAAGTGGGACTGCTTGGGAATTGTTCTAGTGGCGTCAAAGAGCTGGTTGGAGCAGGAAACGCCAACTCACTCCAGTATTCTTGCCTAGAAAAATTCGATGGGCAGAGGAGCCTGTCAGAATCTAGTCCATGCAGTTGCAAAGAGTCGGATGTGACGGAGCACATACCCAAGAAAGAGCTCTGGTACCATAGTCCTTTATGTCTTAGCAAGAATTCCGCTTGAGGAAAAATGATAGATAAGAAGTGATTTAGAGAGGTGAAGGACAAAAGCCATTGGGATCTATCAGATCCTGTCATCCAGTTGACACAATTAGCACTGGGCAGGCTGTGTGTCTCGGCCACCACTGTTTTACTGCATAGCTTGTGCTTCTGCTGCATGGTTTTGTTGCTAAGCAAATCTGCTCTCTTGAGTAATCATTAACTTAAAGGGGGTCTCCCATATTTTTTTATACTTACAATCCCCTAGTGGGATTAACTGTTTGATCCCCTACTTTTTCCTTTTACTCAGTTCCTATCAGAAGAGGTAAACTGGGTGGGTCTGCCAACGACTGGGAGTCATGAATTGAATGAATGCTGAGGCCAGGTTCTGCTTGGGGGTGAACAACACTGGCTGTACTGGATGGCCAGGGGAACTATACAAATCTTGTTAAAAGATCCACGGAGAGTAGCCAGTTTGGGTAACCCTGATCCATTTGTTCAGGGCTGCTTGATTAGGTCATGGGCGGCCTTCTCAAACCCGCTTGGAGTGATTACAGGGGCTGGGTTAGCTTGTTTTAGGCTGTCAGTGTGACCCTTCAGTCTCTGCTACCCTCATCACTCCCTCTTCGTCTATCCTCACCCTAAGTTTACCTATACTTCTGTCTTCATAAAGGGCTTCCCTGGTGACTCAGTCCGTAAAAGAAGCCGCCCGCAATGCAGGAGACAGGCAGCTTCGATCCCTGGGTCAGGAAGATCCCCTGGAGAAGGGAATGGCTACCCACTCCGGTATTCTTGCCTGGAGAACTTCATGGGCAGAGGAGACAGACGGGCTACAAAGAGGCAGAGACCTCTGACCGACTGACACATACCTTTATCTTCCTAAAACCTAAGCGATCTAAATACACACAACCTAACCTATGTCCCAAAACTCTCTGCACCAGTTTTTCATTGTGAAGTTCCCTTTTAAATTTCTTAATTGCCTCGTTATTTCATTTATCTTACTGTATCCTTATCCAGTTCCCTGAAAGACACAGTTAAGAACTGTTTACAAAGCATTAAAGCATCCCAGGACAAACGCTTCGGGCTAGCGCGGGCGGTGGGGATGGTGTGTGTCTGTTCAAACTGCAGTGGTCCACAGTTCTACAGGCGGATTCCGCGAGTCTCTAGAAGAGACAACCAAATTCGCCAGTCCCGCGCTACCAGGCAAAAGCTGCCTTTTCAGAAGGGTCCCAAGTTGGCTCGATCCCATTTCTGCAGCACATTAGATCCCTGGGGCAGATGGGGAAAGCAAGCGGCTGGCGCGGGAGTCACCAGCTGCTTGCGCGAAGCTAACCACGTTAACCGGCCAAGGCCAGCCGGGGGCTCTAGCCCGTGGAACCGCGCGCGCCCGGGAAGGGGCGGGGCCGCCGTGGGCGGTGGGCGGAGCCTGGCGGCTGGCGGGACCACCAATGAAATCCTCAGCCGGCGCTGGCCGTGCGCGTGACGCTGCGTAGCGGGCTCAGAGGCTGGAGGCGGAGGGGTCGGGAGCTTTATCTTCGTCTGCGGTTGGGCTGGCTGCGTTGCCGGCCTGGAATATCAGAAGAGCGAGCGGCCCGGAGCTGACCTCCTGCCAGCGGGGCTGGGACAGCTTCTCGGCTTTGCCCTTCGTGGTGAGGTTCCCCGGCCCCCGGCCCATGCTCCTCTGTTCCCCTCCTGACTTCCCGCCTGGGTCCGCCCACCTCTGCCTAAGAGGAAGGGGAGAGACGTGTCGGCTACAACTCCGGCCCCGCGGGCCTGGCCTTGCCCCGGGGCTGCGGGGGAGGGGGAGGCTCCGCGGGTTCTGGTCATTTTGGAGGTTGGGGCGGGCGGGAAAGTTACCTTGGGGCGCAGGGATGGCTGGCAGTCTTTTAAACCTTAGAGGTTTGGTTGGTGTCCACCCTCAAATTCTGTGGCTTTTAACAAGCCATTGGTAAAGTTATGAATTAGAAGATACTTTATTCCTGAAAAAGCGATACCAAAAACGCAGAGAGTCAGCTTCTGATTGATTCGGGGGAAGAAAGTGTGGTAAATCTGGGTGCCAGAGTTTAATCTAGCTCATATTTTATTTTGCCGTATTAGGATGTAATTAAGTTTCTGTCGTTCTTAAATGTTAATAGGCATGCAGTGTAAGTGATATGTATATTCAGAAATTATTTGTAAGCGAGAAACAACGGTACATTCTATTTTCCACGTTTGTATATGGATTAAGTGTATTGGTCACTTAATAATAAAGTGGATGCTTAGCTGTTTAAGCTATTATTTTTTCAGAGTCTGTTGAGTAGAATTCAACTTGAAGCATTTTTTCCCCCTTGATTTAACTTGGACAGTATCGGTGAATGGCTTATTAGGGAAGCTGTGGATTGTCTAGGCATGAGAACGGATTTTACAAGGAGCTCTAATGCCTAATTATTTTAAAATGCACGTGTCTCACTGCATCACGTGCTGAGAGCTCGCAAAGATTTCACATTCTTAGGATAAAGATCAAAACATTACTGCCACTCTGATCTCCAGTTCAGTTTGAGCCGGTATTCTGGCTCTCTGGGCTCAAGCCATACCAGCTTTATTTTTGTTCTCAGAAAGTTTCTCTTTACTATCTCCTGGTCTTTAGGGTTTACTCCACCTCTCATTCTCTAATTTCCTCTAGTGTCAGCCCAAATATCTCTCCTTCTGGAAACCCACGAGTCCTGGTTAATCCCTCCCAGCCTTCTGTTTTCCTTTGCTTCAGTTCATTATCAGTGGTAATGAGCTGCATGAGTTACTTCGACGCTTGTTTCCTCTACTAGCGTTTCATGAAGGCTGGATGGTCCATCTTATTTAGGTCTTAATTCTCAAGACTCAGCACCTTGCACAATGAAAGAGTTGGAGGACAGGGGAGGGGACTTTTGAATGAAAAATATTCACTAGAGAAGGTTATCTGTTTCCTTGGAAAAGGAAAAGGTGTTTAACAAAAGTTCAAAGTGAAGTCTGTCAGTCCTATCAGACCCTTTGCGACCCCATGGACCCCGCCAGGCTACATGGGATTTTCCAGGCAAGAATACCATAGTGGGTTGCCATTTCCTTCTCCAGGGGATCTTCCTGACTCAGGGATGGAACCCGGGTCTCCCGCACTGCAGACAGACTTTACTATCTGAGACACCAGGGAAGCCCCTTAAAAAAGGCTAGAAATTTATTTTTGGAATTTACCACTGAGGGTAAGTGCTTACACTGATGTGATAGATCTGAATGAGAATTTGTGTTCTTTAGTTTTGCTGATTGACATAATGACTTAGTTCTTTGATATTTAAATACAGAGTTGTACTAGGGCCAGCCTTTAGAAGGAAGGAAGAGCAAGTTTATGTTTTGAATTAAAGTGTTTCTCTTTACCACTACTCAGTCTGGGAGTGTTGTAGCAGAGTCTTCACCTAGAGTAGGTGTTCCGTGTTTTATCGATTTACAGGTTCTTTTGAAAGCTTTATTAATAAGAACACTGCAGAAAGGCTCACTGAGAACACTTGAACTCTTCTTTCTAGCACAATACGTTTCAGTGGTTCAGTCCAATTTTTTCTGTTTTGCTTGTGTAAGACAAGTTAGATACTACTGCACTGAACATACCAAAACCAATGAATGATTGGATTCTTAAGGAATAATTGTTCAGTGTGTTGTATTTTTAAAATAGCTATTTAGTCAGCTTTATGTCACTTTGGGTGTAAATGTTTCTATTGCCACTTACTGGCATGTGACTTTGAGTTGAGTAGTATTTCCGAATCGTTTGCACCTTTTAAAAGGAAATGTTAAATGAGGTATGATCTGACACTGGCACCCAGCTCTGTAAATGTTACTGGCATGGTAAATGTGAGTGCCTGTTTCCTTTCTTGCTGGACCTTTGGTGAGTTTAGTCTTATGATCATGATTTTTACTTCCTCAACTCATTTTGCAACCCAATTCAATATATTTCTTTGTTCTTCCTGAAACCAACTGCAAGTAAATGGTAGCTATTAATGTCCCCAGATTGTGAAATAGCCTATGTCCCACCCTCTTTTTTTCATATATTTCTCTTTTTAAGGTCTTATGTGAATTTTCCATGATATTGACTGTAGGTTACCTCTTGAGTCCTCTAACTTGATTTGGAACATTCCTTGCTCCTGGTTTTCCTCTCATCTTTCCTGGGCCTTTCTTTTATACAGTTTTTTAATTGCCTTGTAATATTGGGAAAATCATAAACCACTTTTAAAGTGGGATAATAGTAGGACTTTCCTAGTGGTCCAGTGGTTAGGACCTTTTCCCTGCCTGTGGCCCAGGTTCAGTCCCTGGTTAGGGGGCTAAGATCCTGCAAGCTGTGTAGCTGGCCAAAAAAAAAAAAAAATGCCTGCTGCATAAGTTGTTGTGAGGCTTAAATTAGACAAAGTTATGGCAAATGTTACCTTTATTATTTTCTAAGTAATCTTTTTTCTTGACTTATGGTTTCTCCTGAGACTTCCTGCCTGTGCTTGGCCTTAGCTGTTGCTTGTATACCAATGAATCCCACATCTGTTTTCAGTCCAGAGTCCAGGATTGTATGTTCATCTGCCTGTTGACCGTCATCTCTTGACTGACTCATAGGCTTATCATACGAACTTACCTACTCATTTCTCTTCTCCTGTAGTTTCGTAGCTTAATGGCACACCCGGAGGCTTAGTTCAGAAACTCACTTGTGATCTGTATTTCCAACTGCCTTCTGGAATGTAGTAGCTTCTGGGTGGCTCAGTGTTAAAAGAATCGGCCTGCCAGTGCAGGAGATGTGAGATGTGGGTTCTGTCCTTGGGTCTGGAAGAAGGGAATGGCAACCCATTCCAGTGTTCTTGCCTGGGAAATGCCATAAACCCAGGAGCCTGGTGGGCTACAGCCCATCGAGTCACAGAGTCAGATAGAACTTAGTGGCTGAGCATGCGTGCAGTCTGGATGTAGGCACTTGGATGTCTCATAGATGCCTCAGCTTAATGTTTGTGACTTAATCTGATCTTTCCTATCTCTTCTTCATAAAATAAATTTGTTCTTTTAAGAAACACATGTCATTTGAGCCTTACTTTACGCTTTTATCATTTTGTGAGAGCTCATTGTTCTCCCTGTGGTCCAGGAGGGCAAAATTTCCCCCTTCACCCTTCTTGAGTTCTCCCCCCCCTAGAATTTGCTTTTTTTATTTTGATAAAATAATACATAAATTAACCTTTTATGAAAACTTTATTTTATATTGGAGTATATAGTTGATTGAACCCCTCTTGAGTTCTTGATACAAGGTAGATTAACAGGAGAAAAAGAATCTTTAGTTAGTGGGCATAGATTACTCATAGAAACAGGACCTAAGAAGTGAGTGGTGGCAGCTGTTACATGTTTTAGACCAGCAATAAATTAGGAATTCACTGGACGAAGAAACTTAGGTTTGGGTGCTTGATTAGTAAGAATCTTAAGCAAAGTTTGGGCTTGGGTAGTAAATTAGCAAAGAAGTGCCAGGTGTTTCCTTGTATAGGCCTCTGGGCCCTGCATTCCCCATCTCTGGTGATAAGGATGTCTTTCTACTTCCCCATACAGGGAGGGCACCTTTTACATGGAGATTTTATTTCCTGCTTTTAGGAAAGCCGGACAGAGAGGAGGGTCAAAGTCTGTCTTGACAGCGGCTCTTTCTTCAATACAGTCAGTGTGCTGTTGAGGCATATTTTGGGGCAGCCTACCCTGGGCCCCAGCACTGCCAAGCTCTCCTTTCTCTTAATACATCCTCCACCTTGCTGCCTGAATTCTTACTAAAAGACAGGTACTACCTCAGACAAATACTAAGTCACTCTCTTGTTTAAAAGCCTCTGTCAACTCCTTGTTTGTGTTAACTTCCAGACTCCTTAGAATTGCCTCTGAGGGCCCTTGACTTTTGTCCTTGCCCTTCCATTTCCCTTGTGTTCCAGCCTTTTCCTTTTCTTCCTTTTAGATTTAACCTAGATTTTACCTACTTCAGGAAACCTTTCCTAACTGCCCCTAAACTCTATTGGGCATCAGACTTGTATTCTGTTCATTATGTACGTACATCTCAATTAGTATTCTGTAATACTCCTGTAATTATGTTTTTATGTCTTTCTCCCACTAATTTTTCATTCCTTGAGGGTTCAGACTGTTGCAATCATCTTTGTATCCGAGGACCTGGTGTGTAGTAGACTTCAATAAAATGTTTGCAATAATAGATCTAACACCAAGGTCTGTACTTGTTCATGTTTTCAGAGTGCTTTTCATCTGGTTCTGTTTTGATGCCTGGCAAACTTCCATTTCTTCTTTGAACTTTGGCTCTAATGTCACCTTTATGAGGACTTACCCAACTTCTCCAAGTGGTTGGTTATGCTTCCTCTTGACTGTGTGTGTGTGTGTGTGTGTGTGTGTGTGCGCGCGCGCGCGAGAAGAGTTAATGGGGTAGACCTTTGTATTATTTACGGTAAATCTCACATCATTGTAGAAAGAGATGCTTAAAATACCTGAATTTTCAGATACTTGATACCTATGTTTTGTGTCAGAAGTTTAAAAAATTGTTTTTCAGTGTTAAGATTTAAAAAAATATATATATATTTTTTCCTTGCCTTCTGTGTTTAAATGGCACACCTTCTAAAAGGTTTGCCCGCATCATTAAAGTATAAATTTCAGGGGAGTTCCCTGGTGGCCTAGTGGTTCGAATTCACTGCTGCAGCCAGGGAAGTAGGGTCTGCTTTGATGCAGTGATGTGTTGGGGACTCATAAGAAATGTAAGCTGTTTAACCCTCAGAGGAAAAACCTGTGCTTGTTCTCTCCTTTCTTCCTACTTCTAAAGTTTTCTTTATTGTTGTCTCTAATTATGCTTCTGGATGTCACTACTTTTTTCTTTTTGAAAATGGGGACAGGATTACCTGCCTCAGGGTTATTGTTAAGTTTAAAGGCGGTAATAAACACAAAGATCTTATCAGAAAGTAATGTTTATTCTGATTATTTGAGTTATTTCAGGAGAACAGTCTTTCAAGTAAGAGAGGTTTTCCAGTGAAGTAAAAATTGTAGCATTTGTTAGCAGATGTTTTTCATAGCCTAAGTTTGTTTTTGGGTCCAGAATGGCAGATGTTGATGAAAATCTTAAGCTCCAGAACAGATGATTTTTAGGTATATCCATACAACTTAAACCCCAAACTGGTTTCTATATTTATCTTTTAGTATTAAAAGGTAAAGTTAGAAATGAACATGAGTTTCATTCAGCTCTCATTCTAGCCTCTTGATGATTGTTTCATGAACATGTGAAAGGAAGTTTTATTTTCTTACTGTGTGAAAATGCTTGATAGCTATTAACTCCTTCAACAAATATGTATTAGGTACTGACTGTTCAAGCAGAGTTCTAGATAGTTGGATAAAGTGGATAAAATTCTGCTTTTCATGGGGATTAGTCTTTTCATGGGGTAGGTAGGCAATTAACACTATAATGTATTAGCCCATACAGCTCTGAAGAAAAGTAAAGCAGGGGAAGTGATAAGACTAAGGTGGGTGTGAGTGTTTATTTTAGTTGGAGGTAGATACTAGTCCCTGGGGAGGGGACATTTGAGAACTTGAACCAAGTAAAGGAGGAATCTTTGAGGGTTCTGAGGGAGATGAGCCAGAGAGAGGCAACAGCAGAGACCTTTAAGTGGGAATGAGGTTGGCTTGACCAAGAAACAGCAAAAGGCCAAAGTGGCAGGAGAAGCAAGTGAGAACTGTAATAGGAGGTGGAGGGTAGGGAGGTGAATGGTGGATCATGGATAGAGGAGTTACCGTGGTGAGGACTTGAAACAATTTGGCACTTAAAGGATTTTGAGGTAGGGCAATGATCTGCTCAGATTTACCTTTTAAAAAGTTTACTCTGGGCCCTGTGTGACCAGAAGGGAGAAGATGAAGAGAGACTAGTTTAGGCTACTACAGTGAGAAGTGATGGTGGTTTAGATTGTGCTGAAGGTGGTGGATGGGGTAAAAAGATGTTAGAATGGGATATATATTTTGAAGGCAGAGTAAAATGGCCCTGCTCTTGGCTTGGTTAAGGGAAAGTAAAGAAGGATAATTTGGGATTTTTTGTTTTTAATCTGGGCAAAGACTGACGGCTAGTTCCAGTAACTGAATTAGGAAAGATGGAAGAATGGAGTTGGTGGGAACATCAGTAGTTCACTTTTGGACCTGTTAAAGTTCGAGATGTCCATAAGACATCTACCTACATAAAGGGGTCCGGTAGGCCTTTGGATAGGAGTCTGGAGCTCAGGGAAGTCTGGGTCTGGTGAGGAGAGAAGGGTATCATAGTGAGTGAACTGGTGGTGATCAGAGGGTTAGCCACTGGAAATTAGAATTATGGACATGGTGCACTTGTTGGTATCAGTAAGTTCTGGGGGAGGAATTGACTGAGACATAAGAATAGCTTTTTGAAGAAAGAAGGAAGTCTAGGGGCTTGGAGACCAGAATCTTGGGTCTAGGAACATGGATGTTGAAGTAAAAAAAGTGTGGAAGAGTTAATAGAAGGGAGACAGGAGGAGTGAGTGATGTATTCACATTCTTAGTAAACGAGGGGAGTGATCAGGAGGACAATACATACAAAGAGAAGTATCAGGTGTGATGATCTGACTGATTTTAAGAAAGGGAAGGAGGAACAGTGACTTGGAAATAACAGGAAATGAGGAGGATAACTTCCTCTCCTGTGTTATTAATAATAGAAGGGCAAGAAAAGACTGATCTCACATATAAGGGCAGTGATTCATGCCAGCACCTAGAAACCACTTAGACTTAATGACAGTTTGAATTTTTAACTTTGCAGTAGCTGAAGTAGTCTGCCCGTGTCTAGATTGGTAAGAGAGTGGATTCACAACCCCATCGAAATGAATAGTCAAAAATTCATCTCTCCTTCATCTCACCTGGTTAGAAGGAGTTTCCTCGCTTACACTCTTGCCCTCCTGTGGTCTGCTCCGCACACAGAGGCTGAAGGGATCTATCTGTGTAGAGAAGGAACAGCTGAACTGAGTGTTACTGTAATTTCCTTCCATTTTCTGCCACAGCAGTCATGTACTGTTACTGACACGCATGGCAGGACGAAATCATGTCAGACCTCTTCTCATAATCTTGGATTTGGTCAAAATTGAGATGGAGCATAGGTAATAGTTTTCCTTCCTAAATTCTGTGTGTATGACAGTAGCAAAATTTATTAATGTTTTCTTGGAAGCCATATGATGCTTGAGCTGCATTTGAGAAAGTGTGTAATTATGGAACTCTGCCCTCATCTAGCACCTATTAAGAGCAAACATGTAGAATTTGAGGGACAATACAACTTTATATTTGTGTCATGTAGCATGCAGGGCGTAGATATGCATGGATTGCATTTACTTAGTTAATTTTTTAAACTAGGTTGTTAATTCACAGCAGAGTGCCAACATTTTATTATCTTTGTGTGTGTGTGCAGTAGTATTTAACTTTCTAGATGAAGGATTCAGGGGTTGGAGGATTTATGTTGAAGATGCAGTACAATAGAGCGGAGACGTTGACTACCTCTTTGTATTGTGATGTCACATCTTGAGCTTTCCCTGCTGTCTTACGGTTCTTTTTTCCTGCTAATGGAGGAAATTGAGGGCAAAGATACTAGTATAGACTATGACATAAAGGTCTTTATGAAGAGTTAGTGTTTTCTCCTTTGGCTCACTCCGTTGATCTGTGGCAGTGTAATTGTGCAAACTCAGTACTTGTGCTTTAGCTTGTGAAGTTAGGCTTTACTCTCTAGGTTGATGGTTCCCAGTCTCATCACCAAGGACTCCTTTTAAGTTTTTACTGTTCTACGGGGTACTCAGGCTTAGATATTTTTCCCCTTTTGATTTGTTTAACAGCATTTGTTTGTCAGACTTTTTTTTTTTTTAAACCTCTTACGGATTTCTCAGTTGATACAGTCTCAAGCCACAAGCAAAGTGACATAGTTAGCCTGTATTGCTTGCTTTATGTGACAAATGTGTAATTGTCTATTTCAGTTTATATTTGAAATATCCAAAGTAGCTTCCCCAGACCCTTAGTCTAGGGGGCCCCCCTCCCCCAATTAAGAGCAATTGTCAATCTTATTGTTGAGTAGAAGGTGTAAAGCTGTTAACAGTGAAGATGGTGCTCATTGGTGGTCTTCCATTGTAGATTTTCCTCTTGATTCTCTTAAGTTTAGAGAACTATATCGTATTACTCAGAATAATTGGTTGTGATATTAACTGATAGGTCACTTTCTGTAATAATATATACCTATCATAGTCCAGATACTTCCCACTAGATTTGGGGAATTCAAAGAGAAAATACCATTTAGTCCCTGTCTTTAAGAAGCTTATGCTGAGTGGAAGAGGCAGATAGTATTGCTCACCGAGTGTCTTTGTGTGACAGGATACACAAGGTGCATTTGGGCCACAGAGGAAGGCGAGGCGATCAAAGAAGCCTTAGCCGAGATGAGTCGAGGCCACCTGCTGACGAGAGTGGAGGCTGGGGAATCCAGTAGTTCTGGTTCTGAATCCCTACTCTGCGGCTTTGAGTCCCTGTTTGATTTGGAGTAAACTCAGTCACCTCCCTCAACTGTATTTTGAGACAGTAAGGAGTATATAGGAAGACACGGTGACCAAAGACAATACTGTGGGAATAAAATAGTTGTATTTACTTTAAAGATTATATTGAAATTAAAATAATAATACATGTAAAACATGTAAGGGCTCAAAAGTAAGAGTCCCTATTTTTAATTCCACATTGTTAACCCCTGTATAATTAATTCCTTTTTGAAACATCTTGGTTCTTTCTGCATCTTTTCTTTCTCTCTTCTTTGTCCCTGACTTCTACTTCTTCTTGTCTTACTAGCGGGCGTCCCTCAGAGTTTAGTTGTCAGTTCTCTAATCTTTTGCGTTGGAGAATTAGATGTTCTTTTGGCTTCCTCTGTCACTGATACACAAGTGATTTTAAATTTACCAGTTACCCTGACCTCTTCCCTAGGTTTCTCTTCTTAATTGGATCTATTGTTCTCCTAAAATTTCTACTTGGTATGTTGTTGTTTAGTCTCCAGATTCTATCCTTGACCCCTTGGACTGTAGCCCACCAGGCTCCTCTGTCCATGTGATTTTCCTGGCAAGGATACTGGAGTGGTCGCCATTTCCTTCTCCAGGGGATCTTCCCGACCCAGGGATCATGTCTTCTCCTTGACAGGTGGATTCTTTACCACTGAGCTACCTGGGACTATTCCATAATTCTGCTTCATTTGTTTGATTTCACACACAAAAAATAGAAGGGAAGTGATCTAGATTTGTCAGATTTTTGCTTTGCCAAGCATTGGTATTTAAGAAAACAATCAAATTCAACGTGTACTCCATTTTGTATGTAAACGGCATTTTAACATAACTGTTTTAAAAGACCATAATGTTATGATTTTAAAATAATGTAGTGAATACTTTATTATGTTTTGCTTTAGAGTGCCAAAAACTTCTATGTAGATGAACACTGCTTTGGAGTAAGCATATTATAGTCTTGATATTGATCTGCCTAAAATTTGATTTTGATTATGTTTGTCAGTGCTTAAAATGGCCCACTACTGCCTTAAAATAGTCCTAATTTGTTAAGTCTTTACAGTTTGACCCCAGCTCTTTTTTCAAGTCTTTTTCTATTATCAAGTTAAGGAAAAAAATCCAAACAGCAGGTGATGTTTGTAGTTTGGATCTGATCCAGGTTCAGATCTGATCCTGCCAGTAGCTTTGTGGTCTTGGACAAGTTACTGTCAGGAGAAGAAGCAAGTGGTCCTGGAGCTGCTCTGGTGCAATCGGCTAGGCTTTGGAGTTTCTGTGGGCGAGCCTGGCACTTGACAGCTAGGTCTTCAGGGTATTCTGTTTAACATAAATGGTTTCACTGAACATCAGCTTTAGATAAGACCATTCTGTCAACATGATGGATCAAGACAGGAATAAGACCATGTAATCATCATGGTTGCCCAAGTCACAAAGAATCCAACATCTCCCTCCCCAGTCTACTGGGAATGATTGTTGCTGTTTTGCTAGTCACAGCTTTAGCCACCCTCTAGTCTGCCTCCTTGTAGAGAAGATTTGTTGGTATACCCAATCATCAAACTGTCCTAACTTTCTGATAACCCTCAAGCCAGAGTGAACTCCTGCTTCTTTGGGCTCTGCCCAAAATCACTTAGTCAGATCCCAAGCCCTAAATAAGTCATTTTGAATATTCTCTCCCTGAGATGCCCCACAGTTTCCCATGACACACATTCCTAATAAACTCGTCCAGCCGTTGGTATGTTCCTAGTGTATGCGTGGAAGGCATTGGCCATAACTACCTGGAACCTTATTTTTTCTCATATGTGAACCAGGAGTAATAATAGGATCTTTTTTTTTTTTTTTTTGACAGAATTTTGAAGATTAGACAGAAAACTTAAAGCACCTAGCAGAGTCCTGGTAATTAGTAAAACTCAACAGAAGCTTGTTTCTTGTCCTCTAGCAAAGTAGTCTGATCAGTCATGGGCCCCTGAGCAGGGCTTACAAGGACCTTGCTTTCACCCTTTCTAACCCGTGGAGTGCTCCGTTCTCCTCCTTCAAGACTCAGGTCACATACCTTCTTTCCTATGAAACCTTTGCACCTCTTAATGATCTCTTCTGTCTCTGCACTTCAGGTATGTATCATTCTTACCACTGACTTGATTGTTTATTGTGTTCTATCCTGTGACATCTTTTAACTTACCCTTTACTTAATTCTTAATTTTTTATGTACTTATGCCTTGTTTTTTCAATTTTTTTTTTTTAAGAATGGGGGCTCTGTTTTGAAACCAGCCAATGATTTTATCAAGACTGATTTCTTCATATCTGTTACAGTATCATGTACTCAGAAAATGTTTAAATGTGATTAAAAGTATAACAAAAGGAAGAAAATATATCATTTGTCACTTCCCATTAAATTTGGTGATATTATGAAATTTACCTATGCCATACCCTTAATTTAAAGCTTTTTATATTTTCTTTCCTAGACAGCACGGTAGTGGGTTAAGAGAAGATGTCTCTAAGAAAACGGCTGTTGAAGTCCAGTAACCATGCTGAGGAAGAGGAAGAAGGCCAGAGAGACTGTACAGAGGAGTCACAAGAGACACCTAGTAATGGTGAGGCTTTTACTTTTTCTGAGGTGAATTCATGAAATAGGGAGGAAATTCAGTGTTCCCAAATAAGGGTTACCATCTCCTTAGCTCTTAATTGGCTGTGCTGTGAGGCATGCGGGATCTTAGTTCCCCAACTAGGGATCAAACCTGCATCTCCTGCAGTAGAAGCTTGGAATCTTAACCACTGGACCACCAGGAAAGTCCCTCTTAAGCTCTTAAAAATGGATATGCTGGTGGGTACTGTTAAGTGCAGAGGAGAGAAAGAAATTAAGGAGATACAAAGGAACACTTTGGTTTAGTTGCCAGTCAGAGCCGCTTTCGATGCTGCTTGCGACACTGGTGTGTGAATTGCTGCCCCTCTCATAATAGAGGTGAGCTTTACTGGTGAAAGTGGAGTTTGCAGTGTATGATTTAGTTTTATTTATTTGGTAACAAAGAAACTAGAAAATAAGCCCTTTTAAAGTGATTCATTGAACATTTTTTGGGTATCTATTATGTTTTAGACATCATTCATTCATTTTATTCAATTCCTGTCAGTATTTACTGGTGTTCTGCTAAGTGTTGCAGCTACAGCAGTGATCGGTACAGATGTGCTTGCCCTTGTGGAGCTCCAAGTTAAGTGATTGAGAACCCCTCTCCCCGCTTTAACATAATTAGATTATTAGAAATAAGTGCTACTAATTACTCTTTTAATAGTTGTAATTAGCATAATGAGCGTAATTAGCAGGGTACATAACCTAGGTAAAAATCTTGGGGGAGAGACAGATGAGGGAATTTTGTTAGTTCTCATGTCCAGGTTTGCTTAGCATGAATACAAAGAAGACTAACACAGTACTTGTCTGTTAAGGTCAAGGTTTATGCTTAAGACTGATAGACTGGTAAACACAACTTCACTTGTTGTTATCTATTGCATCAGGCTATTTTTGCTGTGACATTTGTATAGGTTTGATTTCAGTGAGGATTTGAAATTTGAAGCTTGTTTGGTTAACAAATAAGTGTGGAACTTTTTGAGATGGGTTATCTTTGCCATCCTGAGACTTCTTTCATAAAGAAAAGCTTTTGCTTTTCCTGTTCAAATTTAATTGTAAATTAAATACAGTCACTGGATCAGGAATATAAATGTTGTTGCTTAAGTTTGCATAATGAAGTTTATTGGTTGTTGGACTCTTAATTAGCTATTTATTTATTTTTAAAAATTAGCTATTTATGAAATGCTTATATTGGTACATGAGCTAGTTTTAGTGTGATTATAAAATGTGAAAATTGTGCAAAATGGTAAGCCAACATTGGATAGAAACCTTCCCCTTTCATGATTTAGGGACTGGGTGCTAATTCACTTTGTTTTTTTTGAAACTTTCTGTTATCAGATGATTTTCTCTTTGTGTCCCTCCCTTTTTTTTTTAAATAATGTGTTTAAACATGTATAACTTCTACATGTTTTCAGCACACCTTATTGTCTTAGTTCGATTAAGTTTTAATTGGTTCAGATTTTAGTGCAGATAATGAAAATTGAATTATTTAGCCTGAAGCAAGAAGTCTGAGCTCCTCCCTGTTTTAATGTAAGTAATGCCGATCTGAAAATAGCGTTTCTCCATTTACTTTAACATTGATTCACTTTGGGGAGCAAGCAGATGGGTAAAATGTGGCTTGTGAATAGTGAGGGCTTGAACACCATGCCGTGCCTGTCACTGTGGCCTGCCAGCTGGGACCAGGGGTATTTGCATCACCTGGGAGCCTGTTAGAAATCCCCATTGCACACTTAACTGAATAAAAATTTCGTTTTACTAAGATCCCCAGGTGATTCCTGTGTAGGTTGAAGTCTGAGAGACAGCTCTTAAGAGTAGCAGTTCTCAGTTGGGATGTGTTATTAGTCAGAGTTCTCCAGAGAAGCAGAATCAATAGGATATATACACAAACACTTAGAGTTATTACAAGAGACTGGCTCAGATGGAGGCTGTGCTACCCAGACGTAGGATTGCTGGATTCTGTGGTAGCTCTATTTTTAATATTTAGAGGAACTGGCATACTGTTTCCCCTGGCAGCTGCACATTTCGCAGTTCCACCAGTGGCACACAAGGGTTCCAGTTTCATCACATCCACCTGTGCTTACTTGTTTCGTTTTTGGTTGGTTTGTCTGTGCTGGGTCTTCGTCGCTGCAAGGGCTTTTCTCTAGTTGCGGCCAGCAGGGGCTACTCTCTAGTTGCTGTGTCTGGGCTTCTTTTTGTGGTGGCTTCTGTTGTTGTGGAAGAGGGGCGCTGGGGTGCACAGGCTTCAGTAGTTGCAGCTCCTGGCCTCTAGAGCACAGACTCAATAGTTGTGGCACAGGGTCGCCAATAGTTGCTCAATAGTTGCTCTGCGGCATGTGGGATCTTCTGGACCAGGAATGAAACTCATGGCTCCTGCATTGGCAGGCAGATTTTTTACCACTGAGCGCCCAGTAAAGCCCTGGTTTGTCTTTTTAGTAGTAGCCATCCTAATAAGTATAGGATGATAGCTCACTGTGGTTTTGATATGCCTTTTTCTCACTTAGTAGTATTGAGCACTTTTTTATGTATCTGTTGGCCATGTGTGGATCTTCCTTGGAGAACTATCCATACCCTTTGGCCATTAAAACTTTTTTTTGTTGTTTAATTTATTTTTTTGGCTACGCTGGGTGTTCATTGCTGTGTGTGAGTTTTCTCTAGTTGCAGCGAGCAGGGACTACTCTTTAATTGCAGTGCATGGGCGTCTCATTGTGGTGGCTTCTCTTGTTGCAGCTTTAGAGCCCACAGGCTTGGTAGTTGTGGCACATAGGCTTAGTTGCCGCATGGCATGTGGAGTCTTCCCGGACCTACACTGCACTGTAAACTAGTAAATATGCATTATGTCTTAAAAAAAGACAGGGTACATACATTAATTTAAAAAGCCTTTAATTTAAAAAGCGCTAGACATAGTGCTGAAGACTTCTTGCAATGCAGTGGGTGCATGTTTTATCCTTGGTCAGGGAGATAGGATCCCACATGCCTGTTGGCCAGAAAGCCAAACAGAAGCAGTATTGTAACAAATTCAATGAAGACTTTAAAAATGGTCCACATCAAAGAAAAAAGGAATCTTAAAAAAACCTTATTAAAAAAAATGCTAACCATCATCTGTTTTTCTCAAGTTTTCTTCTTCCAGTAGTAACATGAAAGATCACTGATCACAGAGCACCATAACAAATACAATAGTGGAAAATTTGAAATATTGCGAGAGTTGCCAAAATATGACAGAGGCATGAAGTGAGCAGATGCTGTTGGAAAAAATAGTGTTGATATCTTTGCTCAGTGTACAGTTGCTGCAAACCTTCAATTTATAAAAACAAAACCAAAACCCTGCGATATTTGCAAAGCACAGTAAAATGAAGTATATTTGTGTTTGGGTCTTCTTTAATGTCTTTCAACAATGTTTTATAGTTTTCAGTTTGGAAGTTTTACACTTTTAAGTTATTTCTGAATATTTTGTTCCTTTGCTGCTATTGTAAGTGGAATTTTCTTAATTTCATTTTCCAATCATTTGTTGCTAATGTAAAAATACAGCTTGTTTTTGTATATTGATACTGTATCCTTCAACCTTACTGAACTCATTTATTAGCTGTGAGGTTTTTTTGTGTGTTTTATGCTATTTTCTATATACAAGATCATGGCATCTGGACATAAGAGTTAGTTTTATTTCTTAATTTTCAATCTACATGCCTTTTGTTTCATTTTCTTACCTAAATGCACTTGCTAGAATTTCCAGTAAAATCCTGAATAGACTTGGCAGAAGTGCACATTGGGGATTCTTGGGTTGTTTCTGATCTTAGGAAGAAAGCTTTTAGTTTTTCCGATACTTAGCGTTAGCTGTGGGTTCCTGCAGGTACCCTTTATCAAGTTGAGAACATTCTTTATCTTTCTATTAATTTATAGATAGTACCTATTCTTCACTGCCTTTTATTTTGCTACATTGTTCATTTGATAGCTGGTTAATGAGTAAAGGTAATATGATAACTGGGGCTTCCAAGGTGGTTCATTGGTAAAGAATCTGCCTGCCAATGCAGGAAATGCAGGTTCAGTCCTTGGGTCTGGAAGATCCCCTGGAGGAGGAAATGGCAACCCACTCCAGTATTCTTGCCTGGAATATTCTATGGACAGAGGAGCCTGGCAGGCTACAGTCCATGGAGTCGGGAAGAGTTGGACATGACTCAGTGACTTGAGCATACATTAATAATAGCTACTGATAGTTTATCATATATCAGGCACTATTTTAAGTGTTTAACAATTAACTTGGTTAGTAGACTTCTAGTTTTATTTGATTTTAGGGTTCTTTGCGATACATGTGTAAATGTTTGAACAGAGAGAACAACCTGCCTTATGTAAAAATTGAGTCTCTTGGCAAAAATATGTGAAAAAAGGTGAATATCATTGTTACTGTGTAATTTGGCAACTTCATTCAGTTTATGCATCTGATCATAAAACTGACTGGTCTAGGTAGAGCTTTGATCAACTAAGTAGATTGAGAACACATCTTTTCCTCTTAGGGTAAAACCAAAACATGTTTGTTTTAGAAAGTGCAGATGAACAGAAGTTCAAGTGTCTCTGATTTTTTCCTTGGCTGTATTCCTAGAAATTGTTCTTATTTATTTATTTATTTATCCAGGGTCCTAGTTCCCTGACCAGGGATTGAACCTATTCCCTCTGCAGTGAAAGCATAGAGTCTTAACCACTACACTGCCAGAGAAGTCCCTAGAAATTGTTTTTAGGTCAGTGGGAATACATGCTCATAAGATTTTTTGGCTGAGTGTTGCTAAATCGCCCTCCGGAAGTATTGCACTCGCAGTAGCAATATGAGAGGCTTATTGCTTCAGCCTTTCTTCAGTCATGGATGTTATAACCTTTTGAATAAACTCTGGCATTTTGAGAAATGACAGATTCCACTTTACTGAAAAAAGGCTTTGTACAATGAGGCATAATTACCAGCAGCAATCAAGTTATTGAATATTAATTAGT